TAATAAATCAAGAGAGAAGTAGAGTCATTTTCTCATAGACTTCTATACAACCAGAGGAGTCGCCCCCTGGTGGACACTAGAGAGAATGCAGCTTTAACACATGAAGCTCTGACTTCACTCTTCAGAACCGGAGGTTGTTTCCTGGTTGGACTACAGGACTAGTTCATCCCTGCAGCTCTTTATTAGCGTAGCTTTGTTAGCAGCTAGTCCATTATTAACAGGAAGAAGCAAACTTTTATTGTGAAGTGTACAGGAAACCGTGGGCGACCGTGGCTCACTGGGTTAAGAGGGTTGTCTGGGAGCCGGAAGGTAAACGGTTCGATCGAAGTGTACCTGAGCAATACACTGAACCCCGGGCGACTGTCATTGGCAGCCCACTGCTCCCTATATACAGGGATGGGTCAAATGCAGAGACAAATTTCCCCCTTAAAGGGATCAATATAGTATAATTAATAAATAAATAAGAAACTAACAGTACGTATTAATCGCTGAGCTCTTTGTTTAATCTTCTCATAACTCTCCACCAGAAAGAAGAAAAACAAAATGTCAAACTATTCCTTTAAAGGTTGTAATTACAAACAAATTACAAATTCTCCATTTACAAGAGGTATGAAGGTGATGACATCACTGTGTGAAGATGAAGAGAACAAACACCAGGGATATAAACACTGATTTCTTCTCAAAAACGATTTTTAATTAGATTGTAACTTGTCGTCTCTTCTCTTCGTGATGCACATAAAGTTTCAGGCTGCTACATTCTGGAGATACGACGATAATAATTCAGTCATTTTCATTCGTCCTCCTCTTCCTCCTCACGTCGGCCTCAGAAGTCGTCGTCATCACAAATGTCCAGATAAACGTCGAAGGCTTCTCGGTTACAGTTTCCATCCGGAGTGAACACGTATTTATGAAACGTCCCGTCCACACAGATCGCTGCAGGACACAAAACAAGTTTACATTTTCCCTTCAAAATAAAAGTCTTGCTCCTCTATAGAAACAGAACCACCATGACTAGAAGTAGAGAGAACTAGAACACGTCTTTACTGAAGAATAACAGTTATAATGACATCAATCATTAAGAAGAAAAACTTCAAGTTTTTACAATAGAGTTTTTTTGCTATAAATATTAAACTATTTACATGTTTCAGCCTCTCACAGAAAAGGACATGAACATGATGCTTATTGTGTTTCCTCACCGATGACAGAGTTGACGTTCTTGGACGTGTTCTTCCCAAAAGCACAGATGCAGGCGCACTCAGCCGGCACGGTGAAGCTGGCCAACGACCACTGGCTGTCCACGTACTGACCGATCACAGGGCCCACCTTCCCCACACGGGCCAGCCTGAGGAGCACACGGCAATCAGCAGCACTCTCACAGGGTTCTCACTGATCATCGTATTAATGACACCTTTCCATGACTGGAAAGGTGGTCTACAGATGGTCCAGGTTTTCCAGGAAGCCTGGGAACCTGGTCTACAGACCAGTTCTGGGTTAAAGATCAGGAGCAGGAGGTCTTACGCGGAGCGGCGGTTCAGTTTGGTGTCTTTGAGAGCGAAGATGTGGACGGTTCCTTTATCACTGGAGGCACACAGGAAGGATGAGTCGTGGCTGAAGTTGATGCTGAAACAACAGAACAGAGTCGGAGCGTCAGTCCACAAACCCGTCGGTGACGTCGTGACGTCTAAACGTGCCGCTGTAAGCGACGCGCTGTCGTCTTTCAAATATTGATGTTTTCTTTCTAGGCGAGGAAGAGAAGAACCAAATACTAGAAGAATCACAGATTCTGCTTTTGGAAATCAAAAGCTCATTTGAAATGAGGAAGAGCCGTTTGACCATCGGACACGCCGTTTGGTCGACGCCTTCTAACTACCCATAATCCCCTGAGTGAGTACCAGTAGAGGGTGGCGGGGTCTGTCCCGCGCCGCAGCTCCACCAGCTTGTCTCTGGTCGTGGTGTCGAACAGACGGATCAGCGTTCCTTTGCGAGACGCCGACGCCGCCACGCTGCCCGGCTGGTTCAGAGCCACGCAGGCGATCTCGCTCTGGTGGGCGTTGATGGTGAACGGAGCCGACGACGTGCCGGGTTTGGTGTTAGAAAGGTCCTGAAGTGAGAGATAATCGTGACACTAACTCTGGTTATTTAATCCACTTGGTGTGTATTTTATTTCTCTTGTTTGTGACTTACGACCAGCTGCAGACTTCCACACTTATGACCCGGAAACACCAGCAGCTGTTTCTCCAGACTGGGACACAGATCACACAGACCTGGAGCACAGGAAGGGTTAACTTCACTATGAACGTGGTGGAGCGGGCTTAACAATCAGCTCTCTGCAGGTTCACCGCTCCACAGAGGTTCATTTATGAGTCAAATACAAACAACTGAGATCTGAAACAACTGGACAAAAAATAACGTCGAAGATTCTTAATATTATTCTTCAACTTTGTTTTAGTAATTTAGTTTTTTGCATAAAAATGCACAATTTAAATAAGGAAATAATAAATCTCATAATTATTATTTTAATGCTGTATAATAATGTTCTTAGAGCTTGTGTTATGAAGTTAAACAGCTCATAATTCATCTCTAATATCTGTTTTATATTCATGTGAAAACATCTCCTTCAAACTACTGGATTTATTCTAGTTTATCACCAAAACTACATTTTACAGATGACCTGTGAACACATCATGATAACGTTATAATGTACCTTCAGCCAGTACTC